TACCATCAGTTGATATTTAAGCCTGAGGATATACCTAAGACAACATTCAGGACTCGGTAAGTTGGTATGGACATTATGAGTTATTGGTGATGTTGTTTGGATTAACCAATACGTCGGTGACTTTCATGAGTTTGAGAATGGTGTCTTTAAGCCATTTCTAAATTCTTTTGTGATTGTGTTTATAAATGATTTTTTATCTACTCTAAGAGTAATGAGGAGCTCACATAGCACCTTTGCATTGTTCCGAGTATCCTAAGAAAACAAAAATTATATGCCAAGTTTTCAAAGTGTGAATTTTGGGTGACTTTCTAAGGACATGTGACTTCCAGAAAATGGATGATGATGGACCCTCAAAAGATTGAGGCAATTATGATTTAGGTTTGGCCTAGCTTTGTGACTGAGGTTAGAAGCTTGGTGGGCCTTGCTAGCTAATACCACAAATTTGTTAAGAATTTTGCTTCTATTGCTACTCATTTGACTATATTAACTCAAAAGAGGTATTATTCGTATTGTCTGACAAGTGTGAGGAGAGCTTCCAAAAGCTTAAGATCCTTTTGACTACAGCTCATATCCTAGCATTGCCAGTTGAAAGTAAGGATTTCGTTGTGTTTTGTTATGCTTCCCACTTTAGGTTTGGGTGTAGTGTTAATGCACAACATTAATGTGATAAACTATGCCTCAAGGTAATTGAAGCTCCATGAGAAGAACTACCCAACAAATGATTTGGATTTGGTAGCGGTAGTATTTGCACTCAAGATCTAGCAACATTATCTCTATGGTGTCAAGTGCGAAGCATTCACTAATCATTGCATCCTACATCATGTGTTCACATGGAAATATTTAAATCCGAGACAGAAGAGGTGGACGGAGTATTTGAAGGAATATAATGTGACCATCTAGTACCATCCGGGCAAGGTCAATGTGGTGGCAAACACATTGAGACGAAAAGCGATTTGTATGGGTAGTTTGGATTATTTGGGGGTATCTAAGAGACTTTGTCTAGAGAGATTCAGACTCTAGCATATGACTTTATGCAGTTGGGAAAAGAGTGGAGTGTTGGACAATATCGAAATTAAATCCACATTCCTGGAGGAAATCAAAACCAAACAATTGCATGATGAGCAAATAAACAAGCTCCGAAACAAGGTGGTGTAGGGTGAGGCATCGAATTCCACACTTGATGCTTGTTGGATTCTATGGTTTAGAGATCGAATTTGTGTCCCTCGAGTTGAAAACTTGATTCAAAATGTGTTGGCAAAAGCTCATGGTTCGAGGCACTCGATTCATCCTAGCTTAACTAAACTTTACCAGGATCTTATGTAACTCTATTGGTGGCCTGGAATGAAGAGGGAAATAGCTGAATGTGTGTCTAAGTGTCAAATTGTCAGTAGATGACATATGACACGAGATGCCTATAAGATTGCTTCAAAGGATGTCCATTCCTGAATGGAAGTGGGAAAAAATAGTTATGGACTTCGTGGTTGGCCTTCCTAAGACTTTGGGGAAGTATGATTCCATTTGGGTTATTGTAAATAGGTTGACTAAATCAGCCCACTTTATCCCAATCAAAGTGGACTACAACTCTCAATAGTTGGCCAAGATTTACGTTAAGGAAATAGTAAGTTTACATGGGTTGCCCCTTTCCATCATTTCAAACTGAGGTACATAGTTTACTTCTAAGTTGTGAGGTAAATTGCACGAAGCGTTGGGAACCCAACTCATATTTAGCATAGCTTTTCATCCTTAAACCTATGGTAAGTCGGAGAGGACGATTCAAGTGTTGAAGGACATGTTGAGAGCCATTGGGATCAGTTCTTATCATTTTGTGAATTCTCTTATAATAACAATTACCACAACAATATTGACATGACACCATTCAAAGCACTTTATGAGAGGTCACCCATAGGGTGGTTTGAGATAGGAGATGTGAAGCCTTTGGGCGTTGACTTGGTGATGGAAGCTCAGAAAAAGGTGAGAGGTTTCCAAACCAAGCTATTGGCAGCTCAGAATAGACAAAAGGAGTATACAGACCGCAAGGATAGGGATCATTTCAGGTTGGTGAGCAGGTTCTATTGAAAGTGTCACCAAAGAAAGGGTAATGCGGTTTTGCAAGAAAGGTAAGCTTAACCCTCGATATATCGATCCATTTGAGGTTCTTGAAAGTGTGGGGCTGGTAGCTCAAAGTAGCATTACCACTCAATTCTTTCGAGGTCCACCCAGTTTCCACATAGCCATGCTAAAGAGATACCATGGGGATGTAGAGTACATTACAAAATTGGATTCAATTTTGCTAAATAAGGACCTTCACTACGAGTAGGAACCAATTTCTATTCTTGATCGGAATGTTTGGAAATTAAGGACAAAGAAAATCAGATCGGTAAAGGTTCAATGGAAGCATAGTCTAGTTAAAGAAGTCACTTAGGAAAACGATAGGGACATACGAGACAAGTACCCTCACTTGTTTGAGAATCCAGGTACTATTTCCTTCTTGATTTAGCTTGCCTTTTTATTATTTAACCATTCAGGGATGAACGATGAGTAAATATTTATTTTAATGACCCTTTCTATCATTGTGGGTGAGCTAATCGTAAAATAAATTAGGCAAGAAAACTTGTGGAATAGTGAGTTGAAAATTTTGAACTAGGCTAGGCAAGATAGATAATATCTGAGCAAGATGAGGTCTAGGGAAATCTAGAAAAAAATTTGGGTGAAACGTTTGAGTAGAGTTTGTTTTCCATGTTGCTAAGACTTTAGGGAGTCCATGAGATTTTCCAGAACTAATTTGGGTGAGTAGAACTCTCGATATTGAACTTGGCGTGAAGGAATTAGTTTGGATCATCAAGGTTTGAAGGTGTGTTACAAAATTGGCTAATTTGGGAGGATTTCTGAGTTTTATTCCCGTGCACGCCACTAAAACAGGTGAAACACCACTACGACGGGTGAATTAATTCTCACTATAGCGGGATTGGGCCGCTATGGTGATGTAAGTCGATAATAATGCAAAAACTTCCCTAAAAATGACCCATATTCATTCAAGAACGTCTTGAGGAAGTGCAGGGGCGATCTAGGACAATTTTCTTCAATTTTCCATCAAAATCATCCATAAAAGTAAGTAAACTACTCTCCTAACTTGGTAATTCGATTCTTAGGCCTTTGAATCTGTGGTGGTGACTGTAGGGGAGAGCTTGGTTTGATGGAATGGTGGAAAGCCTCACCTCTGATTTGGGTGGAATAATCATGAGACTAATCTAGAATTTGGGATTAGGATATAATCCGTATATTATATATATATATAAAAGCTATTTTGGTCTAATTTTTTGTTGCATTATTGTTTATAGACCAACAACAAACTAGGCTTCATAACAAGGGAAAAACTTATATTTAGTAGAGCATATCAGGCATGATGTGAGGTAAGTGATGCATGTTTGAATTATTTCACATTTACGTTATATGTGCATGTTAATTATGTCACTAGTATTACTTGTACAATACATGGGTAGATAGTTAGAAAGGAATGAAACTAATGATATCTTGTTGTCAATCTCATGCAATGAACTAGTCCTATTTGCTTGTATTTACAAGTGCGATTATGTTAATTGTGATTGTGATTATGTGATGTATGATTCTCGATTGGCTCAGATGTTACGTCTAGTACATATTATTGGTTGACTCGGGTATCATGCCTGGTACATATTATCGGTTAGCTCGGGTACCATGCTTGGTACATATTATTGGTTGACTCGAATACTACTCTTGGTACAAAATATCTATCGGTTGGTTCGGGTACCACGCTTGATATATATTATTGGTTGACTCGGATACTATGCTTGGTACGGAATATCTATCGGTTGGCTCGGATACCATGCTTGGTACATGTTCAATGTCGGTTGGCTCGTGTACAATGCCTCGTACATGTGACTGTTTGTGTGTTAGTTCCATGAGTGAACAGGGTTGGTCTTATTACAATGATTGTTGAGAATATTTGTTGTGATTGTTAAATCGGGATGAGGACTAAGAGTTATGTTTATGTTAATGACTATGACTATATTACCATGTTGTCTTGTTTTACTAAGTTTCGACTACCTGTGCATATTTTGTATAAATGGAGCTAACCGATGATTCTACTAGTACACTGTTGATTTTGTTTATTGATAATACACTTGTTCTTCTTTTCTTGAGTACTAGACATATTCTAGTGATTGCTACACACCCTCAAATATGAATCACGTGCTTTCTAAATTCAAGGGTGAGCTGCTATGGGTTCATCTTTTCCATCTAGTCCATTTTTTGGACTTAGACTTCTTTTGTTTTGGGATTGCGTCCCAATATTCGAGATTATATAGATGTTTTGGTACACGACTTTCAAGTTCTAGGGTATTATTTCTCCAAATGTTTTATTATAATGAGATTTAGTTATGAAGCTTGTTTTAATTGTTGGAAACTGTTAACTTCTAGTTGTTTAGTTGATTGCGTGTTAGTAGATAATTGATTCTCCACTGGGAGTTTAGTGTGGGTGCCTAACACATCAAGTTGGGTCGTGAAAAGAAATATCTTAATGTATTATTGTAATACAGAGTATCTAGTATTGTGATTTTTGCATTTATTTATGCAACTTCTCTTTAAATTTGGTGCGTAGAATTGTAGTACAGAGTAAAATAAAGTATTATATTTATAGTAAAAAGGAGTTGAAACATAACATGCCCTTTGTTTCTTTTTGGGTCTAGTAAATAGTATTAATTATAACATACAATAATATCAGATAGACTATTAACTATTCCTCCCTTGAATAGTTGCATTAAGATCTCTACAACGTCTAATCTTACTAGTATGCCTAATTTCTAAGTCATTAATTATGTCACCAAACGAACTGCAGTATGTTACTGATTCAGATTGTATTTAAAACTCCACAAGTAGTCTACTACACCCCACAAAATCTGCATCATTTACCTAAGTCAACATTAAAATGGTGACTAAAATCCAAATTTCTAATAGAAGATAACTACATTGCGAATATGGTCTTTATTCAAAGTGAATTATAAATAAGTTATGAAGCTAACAACATCAAATACCACAACATTGCATATTGAATACTTAAGTAGAAACAAATCAGGAGAGTGAAAAGTACAGTATAATCCAGTTATACAAGGAGTTGCAAACAGTCTTGTCAGCAACAAGGTAGGTTTTCCATCGAAGATAGGAAGTTGCATGTTGAATAAATGGAAGCAGCAGCAGCCCTGACAGCTAAATCCGTTTCAGAGCTCTCGGCTTTCTCTAGTCTGCATAGTGAATGTACAATAACATAAGCTTCATTACGCGAAGAAAAACTCAAGAACTTCATGCCAAGGAAATGCACAATGGGAAGAATAATGAATGAAGACAAGCATATGCTCAGGCCAATGAATATTTAACTTCAATTTGTAGTACTGCCAACTGAAATACTTGTCCATATAGCCTTGTGATAAGAACAAACATGTGTAATGCCTGTAGCAGTATGCTCAAATTTGAATGGTGTAAGTTCTACTTGTTACATTAAGTTTTCTTTCTTCTCAAGCATGCAAAATGCATTTGAAGTTTTAATGTTCTATCAGTAGTACCAATTCACCAGTAATGTCAAAAGACTTGCAAGTTGGACAACGCAAATAAGTGTTTCAGGTCATATGAACACTTACCTGCAGTCATTTTGCAATAGCCCCAACTGATGCAAACCATGCGGTGCACCAAATTTCTGAAGACCCTGTTCACATTGCAGCTGCATTTGCCTTACTTGGTTCAGCCAACTTTCCTAAATTCACATATAACAGACTAAAACGATAAATATCTTTTGGTGAAGGACAGGAAAGGAGGAACAAGGTAAACTCAGAAAAACACTGATAAGAAAATAGTATTTTGAAGGAAGAAAAAAAAGACATACATACAAGTGATATATCTATCATATGCTTATTTGCAGTTGCTTCTATAAGCAAATCATCTTTATCTATATCATGATGAAGATGAGAAGATTTCAAGCAAACTATTGCACTGTACCTTCCAATAGAATTTTTTTTTTTTTGATAACCGAGAAATCCGTCTGTGACCCGCCCTTTGGACCAATCACAGCCTTCCAATAGAATTAAATGGTGCACTTATACTTCTCGTAAGAGAACGAAATTACATAAACATGCTTCAATTTACACAAACTTGAACAGACATTGCATAAATAGGACCAATCATCAGCAATGCTCTAATTTGTATAAATACATCAAACATTGTTATTCAGACAGAATACCCTCAAGCCTTAAGACAAGCTTTCTGCAAAAAGGCAAAGCACAGAAGGAAGAGTAGCTTTTTTGGATGAATTTTCAACATTCATTTCTCAAACAATGTACAAATGACATGAGATTTTAGCAGACTCACCAGTTGCCTTTCTTCATCTGAAAGAGCTCCGTCCATCTGATCAAACAATGCTGTCCATCTAGCACGATGTGCATGAGCAGTAGCATTGTCAAAATGACCAACAGAAGAGCTTTGTGTACCATATGAGCTGTTCTCTTGATTAGATGAGAATTCTCTGGAAAATAAGCAAGGGAATTCTGTTTGAATTACAGCCCGGACTCTTTTTTTACTACGCCGCAGTGCTGCAAATATAGAAAGGAGTACATTATAACTTTGATTTAAGTCAAATAAACTGCAACCTTAAGAGAATTTTTCTCTACCTGCAAGACGTCCTTTAATGTCTTGATGAAGCAATTCCAACCATTGTGAAGCTACGTTAGCAGCTAGATATAAAAAAAATACCTATATCAGTTGAGTACTGTTGATAAAACATGATTTAGATGACAAACGGACCATTCCTTGAAGCTTACCACTTGCCGCTTGTACAACTAGATTTCCAAGTGTCTGTTAATCTAAAATGCTAAAAGGCTCATCTCACAAGTTTTCAGAAGAATACTTAACTAGTCATAATAAGCACATCATGTAATCCAAGAGAAACAAACAACAAAAAGAAGGAAGATATAAACCAACCTTTGATAGAAAGTGAATTAACACTTGCTAGGTTTGCTGATTCCTCATTAGATAATGAGCTCGTATTATCTGATGCAATGGTTGTGGATGATGACAATTTCAGTGCAAGTGCATCATTCTCAGTGCCTATATTAGGGTTTGGATGATAAACCATCTTTCCAGTAACCCTGGTGTCAACCATGCATGAACCTCCATCTCCTCCTGTAAACACTGAGTTCAAAGAGATTGATTTATTCAGTGATGTTAGGTAACCATTTGTACACCTGCTTCCTGGCAGATCTTCAAGAACAGGGTTGAATCTGCTCACTCCTGGACCATCTATATTTTCCTGGTCTTTGTTTCTTTCACTATGGTCTTTCAATCCCCCCTTTGTTTGGATGGAAGGAACCTTGCTCCTACCATGGGCATTTTCACGCTTTTCAGATTTTACTAGGGCTTCTATAATGGAATGAACTTGCTTACTGTTCCTGACATGGTTTATGATCCCTGGGTTTAACCCGTTGAGCAACCCACTCGGTGCAGCAATCTTTGCAAACCTGTCAACTCGTTCTTTCTTCGCAAGCTCTAACTTTTTCTTCATCCCATCACTTTTACTTTTCCTCCCTTGCTGCTTTGGCATGGGTGGACCTCCGTGAGTATGTGAAAGAAAACCATTTTGTTTCATCTCATTCCAGATTCTCATCGACTCATTCTCGTCCAATGGACCAACCGAACTTGCACACTCAAAATCATCCTTTGATTTCAAGTACACAGAGTTCTTGCACGGATATGAAGATTCATGATTAATAGAGCTAGAAACATCTTCTGCATTCAGATCTAAAGCAAACCCTTTTGACTTCATAGGGTCCCCCTCTTGACCATTGTCTTTCTTCCCCAGAGAGGCCAGTTTGTTGGTTTCTTCAACATGTGATGCAATCGCATTGCTAGAAGCAACAGCATTTGCATTCAGATCAATCAATCTAAGTGCAGGATCAGTGACCAGATTACCGGTGCCCATTTCAGTTTTTTCTGATGGAACAAGAGAAAAATATTATTACATCATTTTTTTTTGTCTTCATTACCTTCACAAAGATTCAAATGTTGACAAAATAGCGCCAAAAATATATCATAGATAGAGAACTTAGGGGTCGTTTGGTACAAAAATGAATAATGCAGGGATTAGTAGTGCAGGGATTAGTAATGCAGGATTTATTTTTATCAAGTGTTTGGTTCATTATTTCCAACCCCAACTTGTGTTTGGATTAAAACTCTTTTAAAATCTTCTTTCCAATTATACCCTTGAATTGTTATGTAATTGGGTCAATGTAGATAATTGCCGGAAAATGTTTTTTTTATGGCCTTCTAACTAGCTATGAGAAGAATAATTTTGTTGTCATGTTTCCAATTTTCTACTTGAATTATTTGAGGATAAATAATTTTCATTTTAATAAATTGATCACTCACAAAATGTCAATTTTCAATTTTAAAAAGATAAACCAACTACTTTTAAAATTAAAAAGATGGTCAACAATGGTAAAATTGAATAAACCATCTGCATTTACACATAAAAATAGCAAGTTATAGTTTTAATATGTATGTAATTTTTTAAATTGTTCAAAATACAAATAGTTAGTGATATATTTGCCTTTTAATTAGTAAATGTTAAATAACTCACATTTCAAATTTGTATCGATTTGTATTGGATATATTTAGTAACAAACAACTCTCTCTAAATAATTTGTAAGCTAATTTATTTAAATAAATTTACTAGTACAAATATAAAACATAAAATCAAGAAAATGAAAAAAATAATTAAAATGATTTGAGGGATATTTTTGTCTTTATATAGACTTATTCCATGGTATTATATCCTATGTATTACTAATACCTCCAAATGGAAGGTATTAGTAATACATCATATAATACCATATAGGATGTATAGCTAATCCATGGATTAGTTATACATAGGCTCAAATTCCTACCAAACATAGTACTAAATAATACCATACATAATACATGGACTATTTCTTTTAATGCGGCCTACCAAACAACCCCTTAATGACAGCAAACAAAAACACTGCACTAGAAAATCAAAGACTGCATCTTGTGTAAACAATTCTCTATATATTTATCAAACTGCACTAGAAAATCAAAGATCGCATCTTGAGTAAACAATTCTCTATTTACTTATCAAACTGCACTAGAAAATCAAAGACTGCATCTTAAGTAAACAATTCTCTATATATTTATCAAACTACACTAGAAAATCAAGGACTGCATCTTGAGTAAACAATTCTCTATATATTTATCAAACTACACTAGAAAATCAAAGACTGCATCTTGAGTAAACAATTCTCTATATATTTGTCAAACTACAGATCCGAAGTGCTTAAAGTTTTCAACTTTCAGTTCCTACCACTATAAATCATTCAAAATTTCAAGATTCCTATCTGCAATTTAAAGTTAAAAGTCCAAAAATTAGTAAAAAGACTACCTTCTGTACGCAGAACAGATTCAAGATCCCTCATTTTCACTCTTTTGTGACAAAGTCCTGTTCTTTCTTCAACTCCCACACGGCCCCTCTTCTCCCCAGCAATGACCTGAAACATCAGAGTTAATACACACCCAATAAACAAAAACCAAGAAAGAACTGAAATAAGTCATAAACCAAAGGGTAAAATTTCTAACCTTTATCCCAGTCCCAGATCCAGTTATCCCAATAGACTGATCAGAAACCCCACAATCTTCTTCCATAATTGACTAAATAAAACTTTTTTCAATTTAGGTCGAAGAATTTCACCTAAATTCAACAACCCACAAAATTCAAATTCAAAACTGTAAATCTGAATTGCTTAAACATACAAAGACCAAGAGAAAGAGTAACTACGAGTAGATATCTTGAAAATTTGAATTTGGTTGGTCTAGGGTTTCAAAGCCATGAGAGAAGAAGTGTTTTTTTTTTCAACTGGGGGTTAGGGGGGTGGGGGTAGGGGGAAAAGGGAAATGAATAAGCAATTAGATGTGGAGGGATGAGAATTTGAATTTGCAGGAAGAGCGCGCCGTTAAGTAGCGTTACTTCACCGGTAAAGCTACAGAAGAAAGCGGAATGTAGTTCTCTGAACAAATACTAATAAATTTGTTTTGGTTTTTCTTATTTTCGGGTTTCAAATTCAAATGCAAAGGGTTGGAGCCCTTGGAGGGACCAAAATCCAGATGGGAATATTGCCGCGCTGGACAATAAAAAGAGCTACTTTACTACTTTCCATCCTATGGGCATGGTTTTGAATTCGGAACGACCCAAAAATCATTTCATAAATATATTATACTAATAAAATATTTACCATTTATAATAGTAACATTTTTATTTTCACTTGATCATTTTTAATACATTTATAATATAGTTTTAATACATATTATAGAGAACAATTTATAAAACACATGTAATACATGTTTTATTGATAGATAATACATTTATCACACATTTTAATACATTTATAATACAATGTGTCAATTTTTTTTACCAAACACGCCTAATATATTTTAAAATAGTTATAATACATATATATTGCATACATATTGCAGATTTATCATAGTATTGTTATGCATTGCTATAAATGATAATAAACAAAAAGTATCGCTAAAGTTAGTAATCATTTGTTAAAAGGTACCCATCCAAGTAATTTTTTCTATGATATTTGTTTATGTATCAAATGTATTTATATTTCATATTACTTGTATTATGTATTAACTATATTTTGTATTTTCTATCAATTTTATTATGACAATTTGTATTCTACTAGTTGTATTTGTCGATACAAATTACATTCGTTAAAACAATTATATTAGATATATGATACGAATTGATTGTATCAATTGTAATTGTAATAAAACTTGATACAACGAATACAATATGCATTCAGCCTATGTATTCTATATCAATTTTATTTCAACAAATATAGACAACTATTTATTTGTATCAACTGTATTTGTATTCTGTATCAATTGTATGTATTCATTCTCCCTCGATCTCGCTCACCTCTCTTCTCCTAATATGTAGCTAAATACAATACTTTTTTTTATACAATTGTATTCATTTTGATATGTATCAGTTGTATCAATTGTGTTCGTGATATAACCTAATACAACGAATACTACATGTATATTTTAACCTCTCTCGTCACTTTCCTCACTCTTTCTATCTCACTCGCCTCTCTCACTCTCCTAGTCTCTCTCACCTCTTCTACCCCAAACATGTAGCTATAATTCGTAATTAAGCAAAATATAACTATAGTTCTCTAATTAAGCCTAAACTATAATCATTTTTGAAAGTTTCCTTTTGAATTCCTTTTCATTTCCCCTTACACCAATGCTTTCTCCTCACTTTTTAGGTGTTTGTTTACACCCAAACTGATGATTAAACGTAATAATTAAATTTGTGATAGGGAATCAAGGGCACAAAAGGAAGAAATCACTCTCTAAAATTAAATATTAGATGGTCAAAATCCTTTAATTCTCCGTGAATTTGTTATTTGACTCTAATGAAGAAATAACAATTGCAGTAACATGGATACCTTTTATGTACACCTAACTATTTTATATAGGAAGTATTATTTTCTATGGTCGTTGTTGATGGTAAAAACTCACAAGTTGATATGACTGTGAAGAATCAAATACGATCTAGTTATGCTAGGATCAAGGCAAAGGTAGACTCACTAACCAAATTCCCTTAGAGAATTATAGTGGGGATGATGAAGAAGAATTCTGGAAAATTTTTTAAAAAGAGGAAAGAAATCAAATATCATGCAAATTTAATGAACCTGATGAAAATGAGTGTTTTGTCATACACATTGAATTGATAAACACTGAGTAGCTGATAAATCATGATGACTGAAGATATACTGAGAGATACTATATCTGAAAGCATCTAAATTATGTGTTACGATCTGAGCCTACACCTTGGACGTGGTCGGCACTCAAGAACCATTGCTAGTTCCCAAGCGAACCCTCATCCTGGCTGACTACAAGCGGAAGACTAACTCAAGCATACATAAGCATCTAATTGAAAGAAACGTTTAAAAAATAGTTTACTGAATCTCAAAACTTTGTTGAATATACTGAGTATGAAACATCAATTTAAATAAAACAAATGAAAATTGAAAGACTCTCCAAAACTGTCTATCTATGAAGTCTCTACTATATATAGACGAGTGTCGGGACAAAACCCACGAATAATGACGAGCAGATGAAGTGATCTCAACAGACTCTTGTTGAGGATCCTAAGAACCTGTATCTGCATCATTAAAAGATGCAGGTCGAATGACATCAGTATATTGAATGTACGAGTATGTAATATAGCTGAATAACAAATAACTGAATGAAAAGACTACAATAGATATAAATATATATTCAACTAAATCAATACATGAACATGAAGAGAAAACCATTTAAGCTTTACAATAAAATATACAATGAAAGCAACATAAAAATAATATACTGGCAATGATACAACATTTCGCCTCACGTTGCCAGGGCTATCCTATACTTTGCCGAGGTATAAGATGGTATCGTGACTATGGATTCATCTAATTGGCCTTGTCAGAGGCAGTGATGAGTCGCATGAAGAGTCAATGCTATCCTATCCTACGTTGGCTACGTAGTTCTATGAGACTTCCGAATCATAAAAGACTCTAACCCAATTTGGTGCTCGATACTTCTCCCAAAATAAGTGATATCACATTATGCTCAATGTTTAAAAACATACTCTTCCTCTGGTTTGAGATAATTGCTCAAACTATCCTCTTAAAAGAGGTAACTACTCTTGAAATATCTTTGAACTCGTAACTCATTTAGAAATCAAAGTTTCTCTTTTATCAATGTAAAAACTGATACCTTTGGGAATACTTAGTTCCCTTATACTCTTACTCAATTCATACTTGAAAACTCTTTCTAAAAAGTATATGAAAATCATATTGTGATATGATCATTGATGACTCGGGAAGTCGTACTGCATAAACATTGATGCTATATCTAGATACAATACTGCTTAAACATTGATGGAATACTCAATTGTCATACTAATCATGTTTTAGAAACTCTTTCTCAAAATTCACCTTTACTTCCTCAAAAACTCAGTTTAAACTCAAGTGTTGGCTTTTAAAAAAAAATTCTCAAGATTTATAACTCAATTCATAGGGTTCATGCGGAATTATTGACATGAACGACTCAACTCAAGGATCTTAATAGCAATATGGAAACTTAGTAATCAAAACTCAAGAACTCAATGACTCAAGAACTCGAAACTCATACCTCAACGACACTACTCCTCTAAAGAATACTCAATTCATAGAGTCATGCGAAATTATGGGCATGAACGAATCAACTCAAGAATCTTAATGCATAAACATATATCAATTCAATAATTAGGAATAGAATTTCAAAAATAAATAGGAATTCAAGAGCTCAAAATCTACTCATCTCAAGAATACTTAAATCTAGGGGTAGAATCCTAGACTTCTCTTTTACTGATTTGAAAGTAGATGTAGGGCATGAGGACGAACTAGTCCAACACTATGATAGCCCTACATACCTGGAAGAACAAAGTTCTTGAAGAAGAACTTGATTAGAAGCCTTGAAATCCTAGCTTGAAGGAGAACAATCAAGAAAACCTTTATTGAGATTCTTGATCAGTTCTTGAAATTTCTATGGCCAAGAATTATAATTTTCATTAGTGATTCATAATTGTATGGAGGAATTTGAGTTGGAAAGAATGGAATTCTTGGAGAAGGACTTATCTTGAAGAAGGATCTTGAAAAAGATTGAAAGAATCTTGAATGAAGTCTTCTACTTTAATTTTTTCTTAGGGTTTTGCTTTAGTGTTTGAGAGAGAAGAGAAATCGGGGATTAAGGGATGATAAATCTGATTGTTTTGGACCTTTAATTAGTCAAGAAATTCGTTTAGGATTTTCTTAGAGGTAAAAAGACAAAAACGACCTTTTTTATTATTTTCCTGTCGGCTAATTCATCACTACACTGTAGCAGATTACTAAAATGGTCATAACTTTTTACTCAAAACTCAGATTGTTGCGAAATTGGTGGTGTTGGAAAGAATATTCAAATACCTTTAATTTGATAGGTTATGAGACACGTAACTCTTTATATTCTAAGAAATATAGTCATTTGAAGTTGACCTAAGTAGAATCTTACATCAAAACTTAATCGGTAAGGAAACTTTCAATTCAACTTTGTGCCAAGAGATTCTAGTGATCTCAATCGATATCCAAAATGATTTCCACACTAAAGAATTGACCTTTACACATATGAAAAATTTAAGAAGTACCCGGTACGATCTTATTCACAAATAAAGAATGGTTCGGGTCTTAACTTAAAATTTTTTGGGGTGCTACATTATGATAATTTGAGATATGCATATGAAATAACATAAATTCTAAGTATAATGGAAAAAGACACTTTATCTGAAAGCATCTAAAATTATGAAAACTTGATAATCTGAAGCATGCATTCTGAAATCACGAAAGTTTTGAGTCATGAATATACTTGTATATTTAGGGTTCATGAAAATACAATTGAGAACATGGAATTATACTTATAATCATGAAATTAAAGGCTAAACATGGAGAAGAAGAAGGGAAAGTCATCAAGAATCCATAAAGATCCTATAAACCCTAGATTTGTAGAAATCATAAACTTGTAGAATTGGGGTTTTCTTGGGACTCAATGGATGAAGGGATAACCATTGATCAAATCCCACATACTTGGAGTAAAAACCTTGGCTTGATTTCTTCAATGGAGACTTGAAGCTTGGAACCTTAACTCTTGCTTGAGAGAAGACATTAGAGGGAAAAACATTGATTTGGAAGAGTTAGGAGAGAGTGAGAGGTTAAAGTAACTAGGAATCACTTAATCTCACTTAGAATAGCCCAAAACATTAATGACTCTCGGGGTCATTTCTATGTTTCTCTATGCCTTTCTTTGTTTGCCCATTTCCATAGCTTCTGTGTAGCTTGTGTGTGGTTCTGGGTTGGGTGGCACACTCCCCAAGGTATTCAGTTGAGTTTGGTGTGAGTTTTGAGTTTTGGAAGCTTTAAGCTTGGAGGAGTTGACTTAAGTCAACAATCAGAGATTATGATGTGGGATCGGTTTGGGTATTTGGGCTTTCGTTTGGAGTTGGCGTGATTA